TAATCATTAAAGTTAAAGATGAGAAACCCTTTGCAGCTCACTCTAACATATTAAAGTGTCGTTCACCTTATTTTCGTAAAGAATTGGAAAATGTTACTCTGAATGAAAACAATATTAAGATAATCGATAAACCAAATATTTCTGACCAAATTTTTGATATTATTTTAAAGTAAGTCGTTGTGATTATTATTTAATAATGAAAGTACTACTACTGTTAATAATAACAATAATTTCATAAATTAACATATATATTTATTTGTTTCAATAAAGATATATCTATGGTGGAATCATTAAATTAGAAAATGCTGAATCTGCATTTATTTTTGATTTAATGATGGCAGCTCATGAATTTGAACTTGGAGAATTGACCAAGGAATTAGAAACTTTTCTTATTGAAACTAAAAGTTCTTGGTTAAAGCTTCATTTTTCCCAAGTTTATCGGTTGATTTTTATTAAAAATAACTTCAAAGCTTTAGAAAAATTTTTCAATAATGTTATTGCAAAACAGCCATCCCTGATTTTCGGTACCGAAGATTTTAATTATCTTCAAGAATCAGCATTGGTTTCTCTCCTTAAACATGATAACTTACAATTAGAAGAAGATGAAATTTGGGATTATACTATCAAGTGGGGAATTGCCCAAAATCCTACTTTACCAACAAACCTCAAGGAATGGACCAATGAAAACTTTGCAGCTTTAAAAATTTCATTGCAACAATGTTTACCATATATCAGATACTTTCAAATTTCTAGTGCAGGCATTTGGAATAAAGTAAAGCCTTACAAGAAAATCCTTGATAAACAGCTTTGGGATGATTTGAAACAACATTTAGCTGCTCCAGGTCAACCAGTAAAATCGGATGTTTTACCACCAAGAACAGCTTTAGTTCAAGTGTTACCTGCTCATATAAAGGAACCATTTTCAACTATCATTAATTATGAGCATGCAGCTGAAATTTCCTCTTGGATTGATCGTAAATCAAAAATTTCTTCTTTTTTTAAAACAAATATACCATATGAGTTTGAATTGATTTTTCGAGGAAGTATAAATGGATTTGAACCTCAGACTTTTTGGAATATATGTCATGGCCATTCTAATACTGTGATGATTATAAAAGTTAAAGGAACAAATGAAATCCTTGGTTGTTACAATCCTTTAGCTTGGGATAAGACAAATTTACATAATAAATGGATTGAAACAAAAGATAGCTTTATTTTCTCATTAAAAAATGGCGATACACAAAATTCAATTCTTAGTAGAGTAAAAAATCAACAAAATGCGATTTTTTATGCTGGCTTATATCCAAATAATCAACAACATTATGGTTTATGTTTTGGTAATGATATGTGCATTCGTAGTTTTCGTGGTAATTTTACTTTGGATAATGAATGTTTTTGTAATAATAAGGATTATGAAAAACATATAAGAACAACAACAGAAAAATTCGCAATTGAAGATTATGAAGTATTTAAGGTTAAGAAATTTCAATTTTAACACTTTATACACTTTATGAATTTTGTATCAACATTTTTATCAAATATCTATTAATAATAAAACTTTGATTTAATTATTAAAATAAAATTATACAAGTTTCTAAAAAATGTGTATTTAATTATGGTTACAACTTTTGCATCATAAAATGTTTCGCCCCTTAAGTTTGAACTATGACCCGCAGTATATGGTTTTGTTATTATGCAAGAATTTGTTTAATCATTTGTTGATCAGATGTTAGTTCATTGTTTGCGTGTATGGAATTTTCGCAGTAATTTAAATTTTCGTCCGACTATTGTTTTCACCTTTCAAAAAAAAAAATGGCATTTAAATTTTTTGATAAATTATCACAAAATTTTATTGAACTTCTTAATGATGATGATTATAATGTAATTATTAAAGTTAAAAATGAGGAATCCTTTACAGCTCACTCAAACGTATTAAAGTGCCGTTCACCTTATTTTCGTAAAGAATTAGAAAATGTTACCTCGAATCAAAACAATATCAAAATAATTGATAAACCAAATATTTCTGACCAAATTTTTGATATTATTTTAAAGTAAGTCGTTGTGATTATTATTCAATAATGAAAGTACTACTACTGTTAATAATAACAATAATTTCATATATATTTATTTGTTTCAAATAAAGATATATTTATGGTGGAATTATTAAATTAGAAAATGCTGAAACTAGATTCATTTTTGATTTAATGATGGCCTCTGATGATTTCGAACTTGAAGAATTAACCAATAAATTAGAAACTCTTCTTATTGAAACTAAAAGTTCTTGGTTAAGGTCTCATTTTTCCCAAGTTTATCATTCAATTTTTAGAAAAAATAACTTCAAAGCTTTAGAAAAATTTTTCAATGATATTATTGTAAAACATCCATCTCTCATTTTTGATGTTGAAGATTATAATTCTCTTCATGAATCAGCATTGGTTTCTCTTCTTAAACATGATAACTTACAATTAGAAGAAATTAAAATTTGGGATTATACTATCAAGTGGGGAATTGCCAAAAATCTTGCTTTACCAACAAACCATGAAGAATGGACCAATGAAAACTTTACAACTTTAAAAACTACTCTCCAACATTGTTTACCTTATATCAGATACTTTCAAATTCCTGGTACAGACATTTGGAGTAAAGTAAGGCCCTACAAGAAAATCCTTGATAAACAACTTTGGAATGATTTGAAACAATACTTAGCCGTTCCAGATCAGCCAGTAAAATCAATGGTTTTACCACCAAGAACAGTTTCAGTTCAAGAATTACCTGTTCGTTCAAATGTGAGAACAGATTCAGTTCAAGAATTATTACGTTCAAATGTTTTACCACCAAGAACAATTTCAGTTCGAGAATTACCTTTTCGTTCAACCATCATTACTTATGAAAATGCAGCTGAAATTTCGGCTTGGATTGATCGTAAATCAAGTATTTATTCTTTAACAAATGTACCATATAAATTTGAGTTGATTTTACGAGGAAGTCAAAATGGATTTGCGCCTCAGACTTTTTGGGATACATGTCTAATACAGTAATAATTATGAAAGTTAATGGAACAAATGAAATCCTTGGTGGTTACAATCCTTTAACTTGGGATAAAACAAACTTTCATAATAAATGGATTGAAACAAAAGATAGCTTTATTTTCTCATTAAAAAAGTTCAATGTACAAAATTCAATTTTTAGTAGAGTAAAAAATTCTCGAAATGCGATTATTAATTCTGGCACAGCTTTCGACACTCAAAAAGTTTATGGTCCACGTTTCGGTCGTGATCTTACTATGCATAGTTCTTATGCTGATTTTACTTTGGATAATGAATGTTTTTGTAAAAATAAGGATTATGAAAAACCTATAAGAACAATAAGATGTAAATTCACAATTGATGAAATGAAGTATTTAAGGTTATTAAGAAAAAACTAGCTTGAATTTCATTTCTAACACTTTATACGCTTTATTAAATTTGTATCAACATTTTTATAATAAACTTTTGTTTAAAATTAAAATAAAAATCTATAATTTTTTAAAGAATTGCAGAATTAAAAATGATATTCTTGTTAATTATTTACTAGTTGATTGATAGATTAAAAATATATTTCGTTTCGTAACATGGATATTCTTTGAATTGTTTCTTTCGATGACAGTTCTGTTTTTTATCTTAAATTCCTGTGTTCTTTAATATAGGACAATATTTCATTTTTTTGTGACTCACCTTTTATGGATGTTTAATATTCGTGTAATATTTTCATTAGGAAAACCAAACTTTTTTATTTGTCGTATATTACACTATGCAATTTGTAAAATCGATACTCATTCTTGACATTTTTTCCCACATTAGATTTTTTGATAAATTATCTCAAAATTTTATTGAACTTCTTAATGAATGTGATCATTAAAGTTAAAAATGAGAAACCCTTTACAGCTCACTCTAATGTATTAAGGAGTCCCTTATTTTCGTAAAGAATTAGAAAATGTTACCTCGAATAAAAACAATATCAAGACAATCGGTACTGATAATCCAAATATTTCTGACCAATTTTTCAATAATGAAAGTATTACTATTGACAATAGCAATAAGTTTCATAAATTAACTTGATAATTTATTTGTTTCAATAAAGATATATTTATGGTGGAATTATTAAATTAGAAAATACCGAAACTAGATTCATTTTTGATTTAATGATGGTAACTAGTGCATTTGAACTTAAAGAATTAACCAAAAATTAGAGATTCTTCTTATTGAAACTAAAAGTTCTTGGTTAAAGTCTCGTTTTTCCCAAGTTTATCATTCAATTTTTAGTAAAAAAAAAAAAAAACTTCAAAGCTTTAGAAATTTTTTCAATGATATTATTACAAACATCCATCTCTCATTTTTGATGTTGAAGATTACCACCAAGAACAGTTTTAGTTCAAGAATTACCCGCTCGTATAAAAGAACTACTGAAATCATTTTCAACTTTCGTAAATCAAGTATTTATTTTTTAACAAATATACCATATGAGTTTGAATTGATTTTGAGAGGAAGTAAAATGGATTTGCACCTCAGACTTTTTTGGGATAGATGCCATAATAACCATAAAGTTAAAGGAACGAATGAAATTCTTGGTGGTTACAATCCTTTAACTTGGGACCTGTTTAGGTGGATGAGATGAAACAAAAGAATGCTCTATTTTCTCATTAAAAAATGGTAATAATTCTTAGTAGAATAAAAATTCTCAAAACGCGATTTTGAGTTCGGTTCTCAATTTTTGTTTGGCAAAAACGCATTTCGAAAAACTTATAAGAACAATAAAAAGGTAATTTCTCAATTGAAAATTATGAATTATTTAAGATACACTTTATAATTGTGTCAAACATTTTTTATATTAATCAATATCTATTAAATAGTAAACTTTGTTAAATATTTTTAATATTTTATTGTGATTTAAATACGATAAATATTAATTGATCCATATAAATAAATGGGTATTCACATGAACAAAAAAATCAGGTAGGCTTTTTATTGAGAATAGGAAAAGGTGTATCTAGTAGTAGTGGTAGTATATTTTATGGTATGAGAATTACTACTAGTATCAGGAGTATCAGGAGTATCAGGAGTAATTGGAACAGGTATAGAAGTTGAAACAGGTATAGCAGGACCATTATTAAGTAAAGAACCAAAAGCTTGACCCCAGAACGAATTTTTGAATCCAACTCCCATATGTTTATAAGATCCATTTAAAATGTTTGCACGATGACCAGGTGAATTCATCCAACTTTTAAAATGAAAGAAATATATTAATTAATTATTTAAATATTATCTTTTTATTGTTTATAAATATATTATATTGAGATAAACTTACGATTTTACAACTCGAATTTCCTCATCGCGGCCATACCCTTCAGCAAGATTTTCACCTGATGAACGGAATTGATAATTAAACATTGAAAATCTATCTCCGAGACTACCAGCAGGATTACTATGTGTAAGTGTATTATTATCAGCACAGTAATCAACTTGAAACTGAATAACATCCATGAGACGTCTAAATGTAAAATAAATAAATTTAGTTTTAAAAATAATAATTAATTATAATATAAATAACAATAAAAATAATAACAACAACAATAATAATAATTTTATAATAACAATAAAATTAACAAGAATAATAATAACAATAACATTTACTGATCTAATTCTAACGGAGGGATATTTCTTTCTCTACGTTCTTGATTTACCAATTCAAGCACGATAAAAGGATCACAACAATTCATCATGACTATTAGGAGGAAAAAATATGTGAAATATGTAATAAATATGAATAAAATGTGAAATATGTAATAAATATAATAAATATGAATAAAATGTTAATATATAATAAATATGAATAAAATGTTAAATATATAGTAAATATGAATAAAATGTTTAAATATGTATAATTAATTGTAAAGACAAAATAATAATATATATCCGTTATTGTTGTTAATATTTTAAAAGAACAAGAATTTTTAAAAGAATAAAAAAGTAGAACTAGATGTACCTGTGCTTCATGTATGTGAATGTACATTTATTTATATCCATATTTGTAATATCCTTTTTTTGGGGGGATAGCACAAGAAATTTCACCTTCTTCACCATTTATATCCACCTCTTAGGAAAAAAAATATTCATCCGGAAATTTGTGATATGTACTGTAGTTTTATTGATTTTGATACTTAATTTGTTGTTATTGAGATATTTGTACATCATATACACCAAATAAGGTTCCTTAAAAAAATGAATCATTCATTTGCACTAAATTTTATGACAAACCAGTTTCTGCTTGATTTAAATAATATTGAAATAATTCTGTTGAAGTAACCAAGTTATTAAATATATAACTAACATTCAAACGCACATAATTTGACAAAGTAAAAATGAATCGGATAAATTTATCACGATTAATACTAATTGTAATTGTAAAATATTTGGAATATAGAAGAGAATTGAAACTAATGGCATCTTCATTTATCATAATATTTTTGTGCAATGCATATAAAACTATCGCATGAAATAAAACCAAAAACATATAATAAATGGAACAATTATTGAATAATTATCAAAATTTAAATCATCAGTCGCGACTATTGTATGCATTAATAATACCACATTACTAGATTATACCTTTTTATAAACAAGAGATGATTATTTATTAAGCAATAATAATAAATCTAATAAATAATGATAATAATAAAAATATTTGGGCAAGATTTCAAATAAATAAAATAAATACAATATTCAATTTTCAAAAATCAATGATGCGTCACGCCTACAAATCGGATTTTCATTTTCGGGTTGTACCTACCCGAATCATCATCGGTTCGGAGATAATGGCAATAAATTAGATAGATATTATACTATATTGTGATGCCACTTTTTTGATATTATTTATATTGGCCTTATTTGCACGTACGTCATTTATACGTAAAATCGGATTTATTAGGACGAAAAATAAAATACAAAGATTTCATACTACAATATTAATGCAAGTTTGATGTAATTTTTTTTTTTTTAAAAAAAAAAAAATGTAGGGATATTTTTCGTGCTATTATAATACTTGGCAAGATTAAAATGTACATCCAAAATTTCTGAGAAAAAATTTTCCTTTTAATGTAATGTACTGCATTTTAACAAATTTGGATAAAATTTATAATGAAATCAATTACTTGACTCTTTAGCAACAAATTTTTCCTACCTACTAGTAATTTATGAACTTTGTTAAGAAATTAAGAAATTATGTGATGAATAGATTACAAAATATTTTATTATTATAGTATAAATAATATTTTTTCCAGCAAAATTTCCTTTGAAAAAGCCAAATAACATATAAAATAGCCAATTTTGAGAATTCACGTGCGTGTTATTTTTCTATTCTTTAAAAAATCCATGAGGTATTCAAGAAAGCAGGTTAAATGAAAGAAATCGAAAAATAAATAAATTTCAGTGATGCGTTTTTGTTAAAACATATAAGAATTATAAAATTTATTGAATTTTTAAATAATTAATCCTTAGAATTCACTTCTATTCATAATCCGCTTTAGTATCTATTTATTTTAAAACAATCAGATGAAAGATTCATAGAAGGTATTGGATTAGATATTGGAACTGGTATAACTATATTCTAGTGAGTAATATTGGAATAATAAAGATTGAGAGAAATGTTTTTTAATTTCAGTACATGTTTTGCTAGGAATAATTTCTTTGTGTGGGTTTTCGTCAAATATAACTTGATATTTGTAAAATGTATGTATTTTTTTTTTGTTGTTGAAATAGCAATCTTAAGTGCGCTCGTTTACTATATAATATCTGGGACAAACAATAAATTTTTTCAATGTTTTGCAAGAGGAATGAAAGTTTTGATGTTAAAGATAAACCACCTGTACTATTTCTTTGACTGAACAATTCACATCGAAAATAATAATAAAAATTTAAAGATAAAAAGTGACTCGGGAAGAAAGAAACTTTGAGAAGTGATACTTCAAGAAGAGAGAACAGAAATGAATGAATTTAAAGGTTGCAGAATTTAATGTTGTTACAATTGTATAAAAAAAATATGCATGGATGATTTTTCACTTATATGAATATACACGTAATTAAAAATTTTAAAAGCTTAATGAGGGCAATACCTTATTATTTTGTCATTGATATACTGTAAAATAATAATAATATCCTAATATCAAATAATGATGTAGAATAAGTTCTTCGGACATTATTTAGTATTGTTAGTACTTTAGTAGAATTTTATGTTAAAGAGTTTATTTGCTTTCGTTTGTTTAATAATCAGTACGTGGTTATGCAAAGATTGATACCAAAATTAAATTGATAAAAAATTTGCAATACATATTTTTGAATTTAGAGGGAATATTAGAACAAAAAAAAAGTGAAACTTTATAATAAAGCTAGTGATTGCAAATACAATAGATAGATTCATGGTTAGAAGTATGGAGTTATATTTGCTACATTTCCTTTGTATTTTCACATATAATTTTTACCTGGCGGCAATAAAAAGTAATTTTTTAAGTTATTACATGTGACATTAGCAAATTTAATCCATTTGATTTTTTAATATATATTGTTCAGAGAACAAATATATTAACATAATTAGGAATAAATTTGTCGTAAGCAGAATACTTCCTCCTATTAAGTGAAGAAAAACTTGAAAGATAAAAACCAGCAAAAAAAAATTATAATTAATCGAAAAAAATTAAAGGTGAAAAAATGTTAAGTATTATGAAGTATTAAAATATACCAAACCTCACTGATTTTCTCTCTATTTATAATTGAATAAACCTTTTGAAATAGCCTATCCAAATGTATATTTTATTAGTCGGTATTTTCCAATGGAACTAAATTTCCTTTTCAAACATTGGAGATTTTATTAAAAAGTGAACCAATACACAAAGGAATCGTTCAAAGATTTAAAAAAACATAACGAAGGTGACCAAAAAACATTCATCCTATCCCTATCTTGGTTAATAGATTAAGCATAGGAAAAAAGTAAATTTCATCAAGAATTTCCAACTTTACTACATAACCAAACTCAACAATATATAGATGAAAATAAACCGCTAGATGCAATTATTTGCATCAGAAAAAGATGTATTTATAGGTAAAACGTCAGTTTAATTGAGAATAACTTTATGAACACTTTATTTCTAATTAATCTTGTGACTATGAAGTTTTTTTTTAAAAAAAAATACGCAATGAAAATTCTTATAGAATCACATTACAATTGGGAAGCACTTCAGGTGATTCTTAAGGATGTGGTAAATAAAATTAACTTGGCATTGATGAGTTAAACCGTTTGCACAATATGAAGAGACAATAAAGAAATCCAGTTCATGAAATCTTGTATGCTGTTAGAGATTTAAATTGTTGTGGCGAAAAATATATTCTATGCATCAGATTTGATTGGAACTATTCAAGGTCATCCTCATGAAGAGAAAAATCATATTGCCATTTACATTACCTCTTTATAATGAAGTGATGTGAAACATTAGCAATGTTATGGATGATTTTTTAATACTATTTTGTCAACTCGAAATAATACAATATTCGAATATGAAAATCTATTCTAATCATCTCTGATTTTTTCTATCTATTATTATAATATAAAGAATTATTATAGACAGTAAAGCATTATCATAATGCAAAAATAAATTTACTATTTATATTATTGTTTTTTAATACTTTAACCAGAAATTTTTTATTATCAAAAATTTAAATTGTCAATAATACAATAAATAATTAAATAGTCTTTTGTGTTATTTGATCATGGATTACAAAGAATATTGGTTTGTTATTGTTTCATCATCGATGATAAATCAATATCTTTTGTAAAGTATAAATAAGTCCAACTTTAGATTTAATTCAATTCAATTTATTATTATCATATAAAAATATTAATTACCCTCAATAAAAGTTGTTCTTTATCTCCAACGAAACAATCATTCTTAACAAATTGGTGTCCCTTTTTTTGAAGTGGGAGCGCAAGAAATTCGAAAAATATCTGAAACATCGAGAAGGTGGAACAATCAAGGAAAGATATAAAGCATCAGGACACCAGGTGGTAACAGGTTGTACTCTGTGGAAATCAGGGGAGGATAAATGAAACGAAAAAGATCTGCTACGCAAGAGTTAAACTCAGATAGGCAATGTAATACCTTAAACACAAATTTCCAAATCTCAAACTCTGAAATATTGGGTCAGGTCTCAACTGAAAATGAAAGGGTTTCACCATTCGTACCAAGGAAATATCGATGAGGTTGTGGTTACCAGAAAAGACAGATTCTGCAGGTTCGCTTATGAACTTGTCAAATGGATCCTTAGTAAGAATGGAACAAAGATCATGGTACTCAGTTCAGATATCAACATTGATGGCACCAAAATCTGGTGAGCTTGCAGAGGATTTACTATCGATCGTTACTGTTTTCGCAGCAAGACATAATGGACTTAGATCAGCTGAGAATCATAAAAAGATTAAAGACTCAAAAGATAAGAATGTATCTGACACCATAAGAAAAAGAAAAGTTAAAAAGGTGAATAAGAGCTGTGAGGTGAACGTAGTGATTCGGGTTGAAAGGTTTAGGATGTTTAGAACAGTTTAGGACACAACAGGCTAAACTAAAAGGCAAAATGTAGAAGGACTTTTTGCTATGGGCAAAACTTTTATTTACTTCCTTAGGTTTAAGATTACTACCCTGGGTAGTTATTGTAGCAATAAGATTAACAAAATTAAAAGATAAAAAAATATGAGCAGGTTTAGAACGGTTTAGCCTGAATCATTAGGTGGACGTACAACAAAGCCCTTGAGATGTTACAAGATGATAATATAAATGATATGAATATCATAAGAAGACATTACCTGAATAACGAGTGTTTCACAAAAGAGAAACTATCTTGGGTGAAAAAGACACCAAGAAAAGTGAGATCTTCTGTGATCAGACAACTGGTGCTTACAAGACGAATATATTTACGCGCGGTAGTAACTTCAGGATGAAATACAAATCAAAGAAGGAACAAGTACAGACCATCTCAATACTGTCAAGAGATTGAAATAGAAACAAAGGAGCGTATGCGTTTCTGAAAACAATCATCACGTCACAAAAAGTACCATTGGTTAGTAACACATTAAACATAACCATGAACAGGCTAGGACATTTTTACATATGCGTGCCAGTTCCTTTAGATGTCATTGATAACCAAGAATATGTCAAGGGAAAGGTTATATCACTTGATCCTGACATTCGAACATTCATAACATGTTATGATCCAGAAGGACAAATGATAACTTGCAAAGTGACAAAGATCAAGCTTTCGGTAAATCAAACAAGAGGAAATGATACAGGTTGAAAATGAAGATGCAAAGGATCATTAAAAAGATAAGGAACTTGGTTGATAAATGTCATTACCAATTGGCTTACTGGTTATGCAAGAGTTATGAGATCATACTGTTACCAAAATTTGAATCTTCAAACATGGTCTTGAAGAACAAGAGAAAGATCAGGTTAAAGACAGCACGGATGATGCTCACATTTCAGGTTTAGGATGTTTTTGCAACATAAAGCAAGGGAATTTGTGAACTGCAAGATAATCGAATGCACAGAAGAGTATACATCAAAGTGGATCAAAAACGTTTAGATGCGATTCTTGCGATTTGGTGATTGATGGAGATGCTAACGGAGCCAGGAATAACTTGCTCAAACGTTTGACAGAAGGCCAGGTTCACACCTGACTCTGGGACTTGAACCTATATGGGATCCGATATAAATAGTAAAGACTAATTTTATTTATTCTTATTGGATTCAATTTCAAGGGATAGAATTGTATTTGAAAAAGAATTGATCATTTATCATTTACAATTAAAATCGATTAATATAAAGTAAATTCTATTTACATTTAATTTTTTAATTTGTTTTAATAAATAATGATAGATAATCAATTTTGTATAAATATTTTTAACTGCAAATTCTTAAAATCTATTTGATAATGATAATAAAAAATAATATTAAAAAATATTATTATATCCTTAATACATTATTTAATTTGTTATTGAAGCAATTCGACATAATTTGCTGTAAACACAATAAAAATAATATAAATTAAATATATAAATTAACAAATAAATTAATATAAATTAATATAATTTAATATAATTTCTAACCTGGAAATAATCCTTTAGTTCCACCTTCTTCTGTACCTTGCCACCAACCATCTGATATGAAATCAATATCGGTAATGATTTGTCCTTCTTCAAATGAAATCTCATTAGGCTCTCCCGCAGAATAATCATATAAAGCCCTAGCTGAAGGTAGGGCTTGATGATGTTCTTCTGATTCGGCTTCAGGAACTTCTTGTTGTTCAACCTCATACTTTTTATTATAAATTAATTAATTAATTAATCTATTCTCGCCGTTAAAAAATGTTGAGTATTATAATGAAGGTGATTTTTACCTCATCAGGATTTAAATCTACATCATAACCGACTTCATTATTTCTATTTGATATTTCCTCAGGATCAATCAATTCCACAAAATTCGCTATAAAAATAATTTATTAGTATGTTGAAAATAAATAACTAGATCAATGAATAAATATAATAATAATAATAATAATAATAAATAAATAAACAAATTCTTTTTCTCTAAATTTACCTGGGAATAATCCGCTACGTGTACCATCTTCAGTAGTTCCCTGCCACCATCCATCATCCAATTTAATAATGTCTCTAATTAATTCCCCTTCGACTAATGTTAATTCATTACTTTCGGCTAATTATTTAAACAATTAAATTGGAGTTAAATTAGTGTTAAATTAGAGTAGGCAAATTAGAATAGAGAGGTCAAGGTAACGTTATGAAACCAATAAATACCCGCATCATATTCAAAAAGAGCACGCGCCCAAAGGTTTGTTGATTCTTCAGCTGCCTATGAAGATTTTATATAGAATTTATAAAGAATTTATAAAAAATTCATAAAGAATTATAAAGAATTTATAAAGAATTTATAAAGAATTTATGAAGAATTTATGAAGAATTTATTTAAAAAGGATGTGTTTATATAACTGATACATGCCTGAATTGTTTCTTCTTCTTGTAAGCGATAAGTTTCCTCTTCTGCCTATAAAAATATCAAATATTAATATGTCCAAAAAAAATTTTATGGAAAAAATACAAATGAGTCGGTATAAAAACATACCTCTCTTTGTTGACGTTCTAATTCTTGTCTTTCATATTCTTCTTGTTCCCTCATAGCACGTTCTCTTTCCTTTTCTTCCTCTATTTGTTGTTGTTCATATGCTTCTTGTTGCTCTCGTTCATATGCTTCTTGTTGTTCTCGTTCATATGCTTCTCGCTCCCTTTCTTGTTCTCGTTCATATGCTTCTTGTTCTATTTTCTGTTGTTCTCGTTCTTGTTCCATTTCTTGTTGTTCTCGTTCATATGCTTCACTTTCTGCCCTTTCTCGTTCTTCACGTTCACGTGCTTCACGTTCTGCCTTTTCACGCTTTATTTTTTCCCTCTCTTCACGCTCTCGTTCTCTTCTCTCTCTCTCCTCTCTTTCTTGGCGAAGCTTCTCAGTTTGTGATTGTTTATTCTGTTCACCTGCTAAAAAAACTGGATTGATATTTATTTTTTTGGGTTTATGAGGACGAACAGGTTCATATACAGAATTCTTTTGTAAAAAAATAAGAATATTTATTTATATATAAATTTTTGTAAATGTTTAAATAGTAATAATTTTCTAAACATCGGGTATTTCAAATGATATTAAGATTATTTCACTTACCACAGGTTGAATGTCATCTTGAGGAGCAGTCTTTTGTAGTGCAGCAATATCTGGTATTTTCTCGGGTTGATAAACTGAACGCTAAATAAAAGGTGAAAATTAAATAAAGAAATAATATTTAATATTTATTAAATATTTCATAGACAAAATTTAAATCAAAATTTAGGAATAATGTGCATACGACTGGTAAAATTGGTTCGTCATCTTTGGGAGTTTGTTTTTTTAATTCCGTAACATTGAATACTTTCACCGGCTGGTGAACAGAGCGCTAAAAAAAAAAAAAAAAATACAGAAAAAAAATATTTATTTCAATTATAATTAATATGAATATTTCAAAATAACTTCAAAACACGTACAAATGGTAAAACAGGTTCATTAACTTTGGGAGTTTGTTTCTTTAATTCAGCAATATTGGGTATTTTCTCTGGCTGATGAACAGATCGCTAAAAAAAAATCCCAAGAAAAAAATATTCATTATATTAAAAATGGTTACCTAAAATTCAACTTCCAAATAACTTTAAAATACGTACAACTGGCAAGATAGGTTCATTAGCTTTGGAACTTTGTTTTCGTAGTTCAGCCATATTAGGTATTTTTTCCGGCTGATGAACAGAGCGCTAAAAAGAAAAAAAAAAGGTAAAGGATAAATTCGATTGAAAAATTAAAATTTAAATTAAATTATAAAATTTTATCATTTTTTTTTTCACTGAAGTTTCTTCACCATTTCAACTTATATTTGAAAACAACATACAACTGGTAAAATTGGATCATCTTTTTTAACGGGAGCATTTTTATTGACATTTGCCATATATTTTGATCCACCACTTTCATTTATTCTTTTCATTATATAATCTGGTTCTACATCTGTCTACATGAAAAATATGAAACTATGTGAGATTTGAAAAAAGAATTTGTACTTGATTATTGAAAAGTTGTAAATAAATAAAATTACCTTAGATCTAGCATTAATTTGAAGATGATAACCCTTTTAAAAAAAAATGGAAAAAATGAAATAAATTTCTAAAGTTTTGAAAATCTATCTAAATTAAATGATAAAGAAATTACCTTCAAAAAATTTGAAACTTGATTGAAATGTGAATTGAAAAATCCTTTTTTGTACTCTGGAACCCCTTCACCACACTAAAATATATATTATTATTATAGTAATAATAATAATAATAATAATAATAATAATAATAATAATAATATAATTGATAATATAAAAGATAATAAATCTAATCAATCTTCGAATCCAAGTTCTCATCAAATCATTATTTTATTCTTCTCGCACATACCCATCCAATAAGCACAAGTTTTGGTAATCCACAGTTAGGATCAACTACTCTTACAAATGCATATTGAATTTTACTTTCATCAAATTCTTCAGTTAAATCTTCTAGACCTCCAGCTTTAAATAAATTCAATAATTTTAATAAATTCAAAATAAAGTTTATAGTATATAATGACATTCACGAATGAGGTCAAATTCTGTTTGTATGCTTACTTCCTTTCTCTACAACTTTTAGATCTGACCCTCCTTTATCATAACCATAAATCACCCAAGTAAGGCCTTCCCCGTTTAGAACGGCTTCATAACTTGGTGTAAGATCTCTAGCATTAAGTCCAATATTCATCTTTCTAATTAAAAGTTGATCAAACTTTATGACAGTTATTGTCGATGAATTTCATTTGTGACAAGAAATATATGGAAATTCTATCTTATAAACCAATAAATTCTCAGGATCAGTTGCTGACACACGTACGACATATACTATTTTTCCTTTTTTTTCCGATGAAAGTTATTAAATGGCTTCGAAAAGAATAACTGACACATATGGCGTAGCTAATGCATGCGCGAATGTATTGTCAACTTTTCTAAAAATACAAGTTAAAAACACTGATGTTTTATTAAAAACATCAAATTTGCGATGGTCAGTTAAATGCAAATTACGAAAGGAAACAAAGGAAGCAAAGGAAACAATAGAAACAAAGGAAACAAATGGGACGGAAGGATTATCTAATGAATCATTAAAAAATCAACTTAAACAAAGTAAGACTTTTTATTATTATTATGAATGATATTATCATAATAAATAAAAGTCATACAATATAATAATCCGATAAAATGCTCGAAAGAAATATAGTGACAAAAGAATATTAAACTCAAAATATACTCATTAAAACAACAGCTAGTAAAACGAATGCAACTAATATAAATAATAATATTAATGTCAACTTTGAAGTTGTTAAAGCTGTTGACAAGGTATTTTGATTCTAAATTATAAATTTTTATTGTTAATCTATTTTCTAATTTTTAATATAATCAAATATTTTACCTATTACTTTTTAGGTACCGATGTCACATACACTCAAAAAAGAACTCAAAGAATCTAGAATGCCAACCACGAGAATTTCTCGGTTATTTCATTATGGAGGTAAATAATTAAATAATTATTATCCATAGGAATAATTTAAAATAATAATAATTTATCATTTTTATTAATCATTAGGATTGGCTGTTAGCTTAGGTATTGGAACTGTAGGTGAAACAGTTCGTAGAGCAACTGGAATATCAAATGAAAAAGGTTAATAACAATATATATATATATATATAAATTTTCAAAGACATTATTCATTTAATGAATCATTTCTTTTTTATTTAATTAATTTAATTTAATTTAATTAGGGAGTTCTGTAATGAGTGAAGCCAACATTGATAGATTGGTTAATAAATTGTCAAGAATGAGAGGTGCAGCTTTAAAATTGGGACAAATGTTAAGCATTCAAGGTAAATTCAATAATAATAATATTTTTTTTTTTTACAATAAATGATTATTTCAAATGGTATTATTTAAATTTGATTATTCATGGTTTTTAGATAACGTGCTGACATCTCAAATAGAAAATCTTCTTTTGAGAGTTCAGAATAGTGCAGATTATATGCCAAATAGTCAAATGGAGGTATTTCATTTTTTTTTTATTTTCAATTATTACTTTAAATTTATTAGAAAAAAAAATAAATTATACATTTTCTAACATTATTAGTAATTATTTTATAAGAGAGTTCTGATTCATGAACTTGGGCCAAATTGGAAAAATAATTTTTTAAATTTTGATCCAATTCCAATGGCTGCTGCATCAATAGGTCAAGTACATAGTGCACAACTTGCATCTTCGGGAATGCCTATAGCCATCAAAATTCAATATCCTGGTGTTGCCACTTCAATAAATTCTGATCTCAATAACTTAAAAATTTTAGTAAAGGTCAGTAATTTATTTCCAAAAGGACTTTATCTTGATAATACAATTAAAGTAGCAAGAAAAGAATTAATATGGGAGACAGATTATATTCGAGAAGCAGAATGTATGAAAAAATTTTATGATTTATTGAAAGATGATAATAATTTTGTTGTCCCTCAAGTGATTAAGGAATACTCAACAAAAATGATATTGACTTCTGAAAGAGTGATGGGCGAGCCACTGATTAATGCAGTAAATTATAGTCAAGAATTAAGAAATCAGGTAAATTTATATTTTATTATTATTATTTTTTTTTAAAAAAATTTTCATTAATTCATTGAGTTTTATCTATTTTAGATTGGAAAAAATATCTTGCAACTTTGTTTACGAGAGTTATTTGAGTTCAAGTTTATGCAAACAGATCCTAATTGGTCTAATTTTTTTTATAATAAGACAACAAATAAGGTTAGATCTTATTATTGTATTATATTTTAAAACTTCTTTGTTTATTTATTTACAAACACATATATATAATTTTTTTTTATATAAAAAGATTGAATTAGTGGATTTTGGAGCAAGTAGGAGTTTTGATGATCGATTTGTAAATTATTATTTTCAAATATTAAAATCAGCTGCAGAACAAAATGTTGAAGGATGTGCAATTTATTCAAAGAAAATTGGATACTTGACAGGATATGAAAGTGAGGTAAAGATTTTTTATAATTATTATAAGAAATGGATAGAAAAAATTATTTATTTCATACATTGATAAAGAAACAGAGAAATTTTAAAAATATAATATGGTTAACTTTAAATTGGATTAATTATTCTAATTAATTTCAGGTGATGCATAATGCCCATATTGATTCGATATTAACTTTGGGGAAGCCATTTTCAGTTCCAGTTTATGATTTTTCAAAACAGACAATAACCAGTAAGATAAGAGATTTAATACCAACAATGTTAAAATATAGATTGACTCCACCACCTGATGAAACGTACAGTATACATAGAAAGTTATCGGGTGCATTTTTATTATGTGCAAAGTTAGGAGCTAAAATTAGATGTAGAGATATTTTTGAAGATATTGTTGGAAAAATATAAAAGTTTTTTTTTTTCAATAGATTAAAGATTGTCATTTATTTATTGATTTCATTAAATTATTTTTGTTTTTATTTTATTTTATAATAATAAATTATTTTAATTTTAATATTTTGTTCAAATAATAATAATTTAATACATTATTTATTAATTGCTGGTCCGTCTAAGAACGGCACTATTAATATATATCAAATAGTATAAAATAGGGGCAAATTTATATATATATTTTACTATAGGTTGGAATCTGGATGGTAAGTATAAATTTTTACAATATAATCATAGATGAAATTTTAGTATTTGTTAAGTATACTATTTGGGCATTTTTTTTTTGTAAAAAAGTCTAGTAAATTTTTCAAAAAAAAAAATATGCTTTCTTGTATACTGAAAAAATCAATTTTTTAAATCTATATATTTTTATATTTTTATAGTACTTTTGCGCTGTACAGATTCAAACTATACTATAATTTATTAGTCTACTTATTCCCAAATTTTATTATATAAACTGTGCCGTTCTTAAGCAGCAATTAAGTATAATTAACGTAACATTAATTTAATTGATTAATAAAGATAATTTAATAGAATGTAAAGTGTAGCATGGAAAAAAAGACATGAGGACATCGATTCAATATCCATTTTACACTTTATCTTTTTCCTTTAAAGAATGTTCTGTATTAGTAATTTCATTATTGTTAATGTAATTTTGTTGTCCCACTTTTTATTAGAAATTTTAAAACTTTTAAACGCGCAAATCTATAAATTGAAATTTTTTTTTTAGTTATATAATTCAACAAATTTAACTTAACAAACTTTAAATAAAAATATAGATGATAATAATAATAATTATGAATATCTTTTCAATCGAACCTGTCAAAAAGTTTGTCAAATTAAAGCTAAATCAGAAACAGCAAAGACTTTTTAGTGTTTCATTAAATAAAATATTACAAGAAGAAATCGTTAATACAGTACAAAAAGTTCCTGAAGTATTAAATAATGGACAAATTAAAAACTCTTCAACTATAAAACCTAAAGGTAATTTTATATTAAAATTTTAACTATTTCTATTATTATTAATATTAATTAATTAATTATTTATAAAGGACGACCCTCAAATAAAAGAATTAAAAGTAGAATAGAAAATACAAAACGTAGCAAAAAGCGTTTAATTAGTAATAAAAAAATATTCCACAAGATATAACTTCAACTTGTAGTTTTGTTGCAGAAAATGAGGAAAAAGAACAAACTACAGGTACTGTATATATATATATATATTTAATATTTTGAATTTAAAATATTTTATCTATATTTTATCTATATTTTATAGGAAGTCGTTGTCCTTTTTGTACAGAAATTTTTACCAAATCCGTTACCTGGAAGGATTCGAAGTTTATTACAACTTAAATTTCAAATCAAAATAATACACCTACAAATGAAGATCGTGAGATTCATTACATGTAAACTACCATGGTATTTGCAAAGGTTACCCTATGGAAATAAATTTTTGAATTGTTAGAATCTCAAATCATTCAAATGAAAGATGAGCTTCTCAATATTGTTTACAAAAAAAAACAACCAGTTATTATCGAGATTTTGCATTTGAAATACGCAATACATTAGGCCAAAGAAAAGAAAATAGCCCCATGGCAATATTGGGAAGGTTTGAAACTTTAAGGTACATTTATAAATATATGAATTTTATTTATTAGTTTTAAATTAATTTATAGCCAGGATATTATGGAATTCAAGGAATGAATATTATAACTGAAGTACTCAATAATCTTTTTCTTCACACTTGCATATTAACAAATAAATTAAGTTAAAAAATCCAGTTGATTACATATATTAGAAATTATGGTTCCAGAGACTGCATTATGTTTAATTTCTCAAGACAAAGGTAATATAACACTTGAGGAAGCGAGAAAAATTATGGAGAATAATAATACCTTTGGTGATTACATTCATGAAGAATAATTTTAGTTCTTTATTTTTTTGTAAATAAATAAAATACTCAAATTTAATGAATTACATTCATAGTAAAATAATAAAATTAAAAACATTTTCTTTAAAAAATTTCTCTTGATAATATATTTAAGATCTTGATAAATTTATTAATTATTGTAAATTAATACATAATTATTTTACTAACATATTTTTTTTAAAAAAATGCTCGTTCATCAAGAACCCTTCCAAAAAGAGAATTATTTTTTTTAAAAAAAAAGACAAAAAAAAAACACCCAAACCCACGAACTTAATTTAATTTTTTTTTTTAAAAAAAAATATAGTGAATTCCAAAAAAAAACCAAATTTCAATTTCTTTTTTTTTTTTTAAAAAAAAATATACTTCATCAATCGTGAACCCCAAGAACCCTTCAAATCCAATTCCAAAAGAGATAATAAAAATAAAAAAACACCCAAATCCACGAACATGACTTTAAATTTCTTTTTCTAAAAAAAAAAAAATCATCGTAAACCCTATTGAACTGTTCCACTCAATTATTTTAAAAAAAATAAACGTCCATCTTTGAATCAACGATCCCAATTCCAACAAGAGAAGGTGAATATATTATTTCATTTTTTTTTTTTTCTAAAAAAAAAACTTTTCCATTGCGAACCCGATTCCAAGAGGAATTATTTTTAAAAAACACATACCTATCATATTATATATCAGTCCTCGAAGCTTTCTTAATTCTGGGAGGGAATTACTTCTTCATAATAATAAACACTTTAACTAAATTAAATAACGAGGAAGAACAAATTCATTTTATGAATTTTATAACTAATCTTAGGGGTCGGATCTATGATAATATCCTGACTGGAGTCTAGGACATCACCTGATTGGCGTAAATAAAAGATGCGATAATCTGGTTTTTCTTCGTCTCAACGCTTCCACCCAGAATTCTAGCTAACTTTAAATTATAAAAGCGCCTTTTCATTTTAAATGGGTCATTTATGAAGAAAAAAATGATGGGATTGTTGACAAAAAACCTACTAACTCATCAAAAGAGTCAGCGGAAGCTCATGGTTTAGTCACACCTATATGCTCAGAAAAATTGTTTGTGATGGACTTACCAGCGATAAAGCAAATATATGAATATACAAAAATTAGAATCAAAAAATGTAGAGACGAAGAAACTATATGATGAGATGATACAAAAATTAGAAGCAGAGAATAAAGCGGAGAGCATAAAGATGAGGTAGTTAAATTAACAGTGAAACAAAAGGATGATGAAGCCGATTATATTGCAAATTCAGAAGAAGTGTTTAGACTTCGAGGAGTCACTAATGTTAGATCAGTTTTGGAGTATATTCGCGGTTAGGTAAGTTTTTATGTGTCAAACTTTTCTTTTACATTTTATTTATTATAGTTTTTCCTCTGAAAATATGAACCTGTCGATAAAACATTAGAAAAGTTGAGCAATGATCAACGATTTAAAGAATGTCTAATAAACACGTGCGAGATGAATAAGGTGAATGTAGAAGCCGTGAAGAAATGTATTGGTAGCCTGTATCATACAATGTCAAAAGAATCGCACAGTTATGACAAAGTTGTGATTTATGAAAAAGATTGGGTGATAAATGAGATAATTGCCTTAGGTCTCATTTTCAAATATTTTGGTGTCCTTTCGATTATTTGGATAAGAATGAACAATTTGCGGAATTTCCATACAAGGTAGCATCACGTTAACAATGTTATCCAACTGTTTTAGTTTTTGTACTTGGATTGTGCAAAATACAGAAGAAAGTCATGCTGATCACTTTTGCTGTTTATATATGAAAAGTTTTTTTTTGCTTTATTAATTAATGGATAGGATTTCACCTTTTGTATTGAATTTAGTAAACATTTAAAAAATTCACTGAGCACTCAAAATTCAATAAATTTGCAAGATTTTTTATTCAAAGAATTGTTATATGTTCCTTTATACATAAATGTTATTTCCATTTACATCAACAATATAATTAACAAATTATAAAATTTTAAAGTCACGGTATAATTTAGTAAAATAGGTGTACTGAATTCAGTACACAATTTTCAACCGTCTTGTGAATCACTGAGAAAAATTATTAGCTGCAAAATTGAAAATTGATAGAACAGACATATTTACCTTGTACGATCTATATTATATGAATTACGAATACGATTAGCCCAGCAATTTGCACACGTTTATGACAACTTATGCAGTGAAGTTGAATATACTTTCCTTTAATCTGAGAATTTGTAAAATCATTCTTGATACTAATGAGGTTATGCTTAAGGTTATTTTGAATCCTGATTTTTTCTTTTTTTAGTTCAGTCTGCAATGGTTCCTTCCATTTCTTCCTTTGAATAATAATTGAAATTGCTAATTGTTTACGAAAATCCACATGTCTCATTTTTTTTTACCTGTAACAAATTGACAGTATGCAGAATAACTATTTGCTTCTACAGCTGAAAAATAAAAGGCCAGGATACGATTTTTAGAGCATTTTGTTGTAAGAACATCTGATAAGAAAGTGCATTATCACATAAATTATTGAATATATCTAGATACTCATTATATTCATCAAAATGGCAGGGTGACGAAATTTTACATTACCATGACCCTTTATATATCTAGTTATTTCAGTTTTAAGGTTTGTTGTGGAACAGCTGGCAAGGGGAACAATATTTTTATGATCACGAATAGAGCACAAGATAAGGTCAACATCATCTAAATTTTCCTGTTCGACTAACAAATGATCCGTAGACACTTTCAAGGGCATCTGTAATATCATGAGGAATGTTTTTTGGCCAATAGCGACGTTTTTTAATTGCAAAATTAAATAAAACCATGTTTATATAATGTAATGCAAGCATTTACACTACCAACCATGAATCTGTAATAATTGTTCTTCCGCTATTGAACCATGGCTCAGTTAATCATAACATAGTTGCAATTGTTGCTGAATATTCAGAAAATTTTTTTTTATTAGCATGCTCTGGAGGTTCTACTGCAATAATAAATTAAATCGTGCATCAGCAACAGTTTAAATTCGCAGCCAATTGGATGAGGTTTTCTAGGTATTTTTTGTTGAAATGGACCTTTATCAATTTCGACCATCCATTGACACATGGATTCGTCAATAAAAAGAAAACTACCAGGTGTAATGGCTTTAACAAGATTTTCATTAAATGCATTATGAAGTTTCTGAGCAAAATGAAAAGGATCATCATTATCCGTTGGTAAATCCGTTAATTTCAAATATTTGAAATCGTTTATGTGACATATATTGATCAAATTCTAATGCAACCCCACCTGTATTCGCATATATCTGAGCACCGAACATACGTCATGATTGTTAAATTTCAATAAATCGCTAAATTCCATTCAAGTCAAGTCTTTCCAAAGTCGTTCGCTTGCACGTGCATGTTCGTTTGTAGGTTGACATAATATATTCAGCTGGTAAAAAACGTTCAAAAAATTGTCTTGGTGATGCATGTTCAATATCTGAAATATGTACATACAATTGGTGCACCTGAATAAGATCGACCAACCTTACGAGAATCAATAGTTACGTCCATAAAACTTCGTTCCTGTTGCTAACATTTATTTCTTCTTCATCTTGTTCACTATCATTTGGAATGCTTGTCTCTGGTTCACTAATAATTGACTCCTCGGGTACATTATCATTTTCATTATTTAAATTATTATTGGTAACACCTACATATTTCATACGGCCTGCTGAGACCTCAAATTCCATCTTCAGATTTGCATCAAGACTAATAACCCAACTATTTATACCAGGTGCTGCCTGTAGAACTTTAGCAGAAATCCTTTTGGTTTTCTACATGTCTCCTACAAGTGGACGGGCAATTCTTTCACCTACAACACTACCCAAAATTGTAACTTTAGCATCTTTAATATTTGGTGAAATACATCCCATCGCAAGTTTTTTTTTAAAAAAAAAAAAATTGCATGAAAAATATAAAAAAAAGGTACAAAAAAAAAAAGAGATACTACGGGATTGTACAATGTCCATAGTAGAAAATTCTGGCATTTTGCGTATATAATTTTATTAAAAAGTATTTTTTTTTTATCTTCGACCTCCATGTGAATTAAGGGATAAAGTCACGAGCTGAAAGTAAGTTTTTTATTAAAAGTTATTTATAATCGTTCAAATATCATATTTACCAAATTAGGACTAAAAAATATTATTAAATATGCCTCTTTGAGTCTTTTGCGCAAATTATCTTTCAAATATCCTGGGATATGTTACATTATTTCGTTATAAACCCGATTCCGCACAGTTTGATCTCTAACACCCCAACTCTTTCCTCAAATCCTTTCCCATAATAATACCTATAATTTCTTCCTGATTTGCCTTCACCGCACGCATTTCGGCACGACGTGCTTTCTGATATAAATTTTTCGGTAATACAGCTTAGCTGTGGCTGTATTTATTGCCATTGTCATTCCCGACGAACAAGTTTACCAAAACTCTAAGCTAAGCTTCCATTTCCCGACTTCATCGAGAGAATGTCCAGTCCAAACGGGAGTAATGTTATTGAAGAATTAATAATAAATAATAGAATATTTAAGGTGTTAAGGATGGACACGTTTGTTTCGCGTTCATTTTCTTTGGTGAATTTATTATAAACTTGATTTAATTCCCACATTGCTTCTAAAATTTATTTATTATTTTACTAAAGATTCTTATTATTAAAACGCACTTTCAAAAAATTTAAAACAGATGTTTTATCCAAATTCTTCGTCCAAAATCTCAAGGAACAAATTCTTTTTCTAGTTCTTTTTGCCTTTTCATCTTTGAAATTCCACTTTTTTTATGTAAATATATCTGCTACTTTGGAAGTAATAGTTGTATTCTTTGTATTCTTTTTTCTCGTTGAGCTTTTGTTTTTTTTAAGGTTTTTTTTTAGAAGAGTTTATCGCTTTTGGCTCAGCTCATTTTAAATTAGTATTTCTTTAATTTAGTCGATCATTCTGTTATTTATTATTAAAGCCAAAAAAAAAAATATATTTTATCTAAATTATTTTATAATTTTCAGAAATTTAAATTAAACTGAAAAATATTATGATTTATTTGACGAAATGTATAATAAAGGCAATTTTTTGATACTTTGGTTAAATAGAATCAAGTCAAATGTAATATTACATGATCCTTACTCAAGACATTAAGCATAATCTGATGTAATATTATGTAAAACCTACAGAATTTGATAATCTGCTATATATTCTATTGAAGTAGCATCTAATAGTTTACTGTTAGAAAAATTAGTCTTCAGTTATAATCAATTTATTTAAATTTGTTAAGAAACAATATACCTCCATTAAAAACTTGAAAGGTTTTTTAAGAAATCCTTTAATATAATTTCACATATGCTCCCTAATTCATATTAATTCATTTCATAGCATTCATGAAAACTTCGCCTACATGTATGTTAAGAACACAATATATGAAGTATTCAGAGAAAAAAAAAACACATATCTATTTTGACAATGACTAGTTTTCCTTTCACTAAGCTTTGGACTGTCTTTGCATATAGAGTTCAAGCAATTAGAATCAGACAATGAAATATTCAAAAAAAACCAAAGATCCTTGGATTCCAAGAATGAGCTGAATTACTTATTGAACATGGAGATTACAATATGACAATCAATAAAGACCTCCTCATTCCAAAAGGCATAAACATTCAAAAAAATTAGACTATAATTTTTACACAAATAGATAGACAATTCCAATCTTTTCTGACTAAATATTCAAAAAGTGAAGTAAACAAAAAGATTAATTTTTCAATTTAATACAATGTTTTGAAAGAAATCTATGAGCGCTGGAATTATTATTTCAAGCTAAGTTTCGTGTTCAGGAATTTATTACACTACACTATTTGGTCAATGGATACAACTAACATACATTTGTAATATTGAATATAAATGAGAATCTTTAGATACAAAAAAATATATGCAAAACAATTGTTATAAATACAAAAAAAAAGACATTTTAATTTGTTACTGTATCTTTGAAGTAACTTGAAGGGAAGATAGATTAATGGGTTGAAGAGATATAACACAAATATTCTATGTACACACATGTTGTACAAAATAGAGGATAATCTATCCTTTGAACTAAACATGTTATCTTATGGTAATTAAAATATGAAAAGGATTTCAATCCTTTCGGAAAGATTGAAATGAGAAATTACTTTAGTACCTTTTTATTCTATTTTGTTATTCTTTTGCCTACTATTATTTTTATTATTGATTATTGAAGCTCAGTCTTAAAGAGAAAGAAATGTTGAAATGCTATAGTTTAAATTTTTGTTAATTAAATTTTTTCTTATTTATCATTTAGTGAAGAGAATCAAGTTAGTTGTAAATAGGCAAAGATAATTTGTGAAGAGTCAAAAATTTTGTCAATTTTTGATCATTCAGCATGTAATCTACAGTTTGAATAAGAAAAAATAGTTAAATATTTGTAAATAAGCAAGGATATTATTTGCAAATAACTTATACAAATAGTATTAATTATATTAACAATTACTGATTATTAGCAATTACTTTCCACACTTTTTTTCTTGCAAAAGTATACACTATTTTTCTTTGAGTAGGACATTGGCTCTAGATTTTTACCTTAATGACTTGTCAAATAATGTTGATTTGAATCTCTCAAAGTAATAATATATAGAAAAGCTTATCTCTTAATATCCAATATTATGTTACAAGTTATAAACATATCCATGGATTAGTAAAAAAGTTACATTGTAATAAAATAAATTAACTTATCTCTTTGAATAGAAATAGAAGGTTAGTACAAATCAAGTATCATTTTGATTTTTGATTTTTGAAATGTGAATTTTTGTATTAATAATATAATTATCAACATGCTTCTTTTATTAATTCATACAATTTTTTCTCAACCTGTTTCTATCTTTTTTTCTTAATAGCATACACAATTCTTCTTGAGTAGAACCATTAGCTCTAGAAATTTTATTGCATTGCTTTAACTTTCTTTAACAATATATAATACATCAGGTTTTTTTCTTCCAATATTAGTATGTTACAAGAGAAATTAATTAAGAAATTATTATGAAATACTTGGTATAATAAAAAATGAAAATTTACTAAGAAATAAAAATTGCTATTACCATCAAAGGAAAGAGAGTTTGCACCAATTATATTATTGTCAACAAGTAATATAAAACAAAGACTTTGTATACCATACATTATTTTCAATTCAAATTGAATATATATATTGTTTTTTATATAGTACTCAAAGGTGTCAAAAAAAAAATCTGCATAAAAAACTAACCAGATATACTATTACAAGATAAATATACAGGACAGATACAAAAAAATAGGCAAAGTAAAAAAGAAATTCTGACTTTAGCTGATTTATAATATAGGGTGCAATAGGATGGTCAATTTTAGCTAGTCTATAATATAGAAATTCTGATTTTTAGCTGATATATAATATAGAAATCACCATTTAGTACAGTGATTCTTTTGCATTTGACTAGTGATAGTTACAGTACATCATATTTACTTAATAATTATCTAATATTAATCAATTGAGAATGAACAATTATACATATTCATATATCAATAACTTAGTATTTAACTTCATATATTATTAATTTAGTCAATAGTAGTGAAATAATTCATGATATAATGAGTACAAGTTGCACAGTTACATGATATTATTATACAAACTATATTAATTATTATTATTTAACATTAATTTATTATTATGTATTATCATTTATTAACAATTAATATTACTTATTATTATATATTATAGTATTTAGAGTTATTAACAAATAGTATTTTGTGACACAGTAGTAAAATAGTATAAATATAATTCCTTCCTCAAATAATTTTATATTCTCTTTTACTCTTTCTAATAAAATTAAAAAAAACAAAATTTAAATAGAAATATTTATTATTACAAAATGGTCTCTAATAAAATATATTCAATACTAGATATCCACCTGTCTGGTGCACATTTCAGATGAACTTAGAAATATAGCACATAATTCATTATAGGTACACTCACCTAGCAAAAGTATCCGACCACTTAAAAATTATTAATTACAAAGTAAATTTTTATCCGTTAATAACTCGTGATCTAACATATAAAAATGAGTCAACTTTTTTTTATTTAATTCCCCTGGTTTAGGGCTTTCATATAATACCTTAATTATTAATTTTGGATACATAGCCGTCAAGAAATTTTAATTCAAATAACATTAATAAAAAATCGAATTTTTTTACTATAAAATTAATATA